ACAGCTTTGCTGCCTTGTTAATTTTCATCCTCCCTACCCAGATACCCAACTGCATTGGATTTATAAATATATTTTTAAATCTTACTTGGAAAAGGTATTCTCATCTAACTTTCAACAGATTCCCTTATGGTTTTCATCTCCAAGGTAGTTTTCATCTGTGCCAACATTTGTTTGGTAAGATAAGATGCACTGTTGTTGGTTTCTGACTGTGGATACCTTTTTGCAAACCAGCCGTGAAAATGCCTCTCCCAAAAAACAGTTATAGTAAAGGAACAGACACAGAGATTGATTGGTTTCACCAGCATTGTTGCTGTAACGTAAGGAATAAATCTTGACATTTGTTGGCTGGAGATGTTTCTTCTCCAACCGTCCGTAAAATACCAAGGGAGTCATCTTGAATTTATTAGTCAGTTTGTTCTTTCTTCTTCTGAAACTTCTGAAGACTAATTGCTGTTGTTAACAAGGAATTACCTGTACCTGGATATCATGAATTGCAAAAAAAAAGAAAAAAAATTCTTGTTGGCAGAGGTCACCTGCCAACCTGATTATTTAGGGAATCACTTTTCCCTTGTCAGTGCAAAAGTTTGGGGCTGCAGGCCTTTCCTCTCTCTCTCTCTCTCTCTCTCTCTCTCTCTCTCTCTCTCTCTCTCTCTCTCGTTTTTTTTTTTTTTTTTTTTTTAAATCTTTTCTCACCTTCCTCTTGGTACTTCATGCTGTCTTGGCAGTTCTNCTTAGTAACAGGCAGAGTTGACAGATATGCGGCAACAGCACCAGTGACATGCGCAGTAGCGACGGAAGTTCCACTGATGGTCATGGTGTCAGAGGTCGAGGTGGGCCAAGCGCTCTCCACCCACATTCCGGGGGCATAGATTGACACACAGGAGCCAGTATTGGAAAAGTAACCGACGTCGTCATAACTGGAAGTAAATAACGAGATAAAGTGAACAATTACTATGGTGCCGTTTTTTTTTTTTTTTTTTTTTTTAAATCATGTCTCACCTTCGTCTTGGTACTTCATGCTGTCATGGCAGTCCTATTGTTTCAGGATCAGAATACAGTGACTATGCTTATTACAGGATAACACGGCCTTTAACCAAGTAGATGGATGATTTTAGCCAAATTAATTGTCTGAACTAAATGAGTTATGAATATTAGTGAAGAATAGAAACATATTTGAATTTCCCTTGACTAGAGTAGAATATCTGAAGCATATGATTTATTTATTTATTTTTTTTATCAGGAAAAGAATTAATACTTTTTCATTTTGTAAAGATGTAATTAATAACATTGGAAGGGCAGTTTATTATAACTTATGTCCCAGCATAAACTCTGGGACTTGTCACTTTATTCTTTTGGTGGTGTCATGGCAGAGCAGGGACAGCAGGGCAGACATATCATGTGCATGTTGAAAACACATGCAGTCTCTTTCTTTTTGTATTACAAGTATTTGTACTCTCTCACACTCATTACTCTTTTATGCACGCACACACACACACACATTTGCATGCGAAAACATGTATTTATCTTTCGACAAATCTTTCAGCTTTTGTAGTTGGCTGCCATGGTATTTTGTTCCCTGCAAACAAGTTGCTTATTCTCAGCATTTATGTTATTGCGATACATTTCTCTTCTGGAAACACCAGAACATCATCAACATCAGGCAAATATCATTTTAATCTTCTTTCCTCTGCCAGAAAAGAGTGATGGTTACTACTTGAAGCTGGTATAAATTTGGCCCATCTTCTTCACCAGTACTTGAGAAGAGGGTGAAAAAATGGCATCTCAGTACTCGAGTGTGGCCATTTTGAATCTAAACAGTAGTATCCCATGGTTGCTGTTGCTTTGTTTCTTCTCTTATTGGAATAAAGTACTAAAAAATTATGATATTTTTCCAGTAAACCCCTTATTACTATTAGAATTTTATATTTTTTTTAATTTAATTTTATTCATTTTAATTTTTAATTAAGCCACATGCGTGCCTTCTCTTTTCACCTATTTGTGATATGAAAAGAAAATCTTAACAAGACTAAACATTGGAAAACATACACTATCTAAATATTGGGAAACAAATTACATAGATAAAGTTTTGTGCAGGAAAAGCTTAATTACAACTGAACATAGTAGCAAAGGAACACAGGAAGTGAGTTCTTTGTCAGAATAAAAACTGGGTGTCAGACCAGCATGTTTGGCCTGGGAGGAATTTGACCCCTTGACCCCTGGTCAAGAGCAGAAGGAGATTAACATTGGGCACTGAAAGCCACTTGACAAGAGAGAGAGAGAGAGAGAGAGAGAGAAAACAAAAAAAAAATGGAGAGAGAGTCAGACAGAGAGCAAAATAATGGAGGGGGTGTGGAATCTTTCCCTTAGCACTATAAAAAGTTTGCAACCATATTGTAGCAAACTTGCTGCAAATTTGCAAAAAGGAATTGCAGTTTACAGCAATATTACAGCAAATTTGCAACAGGCGTTAAGTTTTGCTAAGGGTTACAAAAGGCTTGATATGACAAGAGTTAACAGGTTGTAAAAAGAAAAAAATTGGATGTCTGGGTTTGAGAATAATGACACAAAGTTCAAAAGACCATTTTTTTAAAAGAATTCATAAGGTTCAGTCTAAAAGGCATACATACAAACATTTTGAAACAATCACATTCTTTTTATCAGAAATTGAATTCTATCAATGTTTTGTTTTCTTTCAGCCTCAGAACATTCTCCTGACTAATCCTCATCCCCATGGCGATGTCAAGTTATGTGACTTTGGTTTTGCGCGATTGGTCAACTATGGAGAAGACATCAGGGACATTATTGGGACACCAGACTATGTCGGTCAGTAGCTTATTCTAAAATAAAATACAGAGACGAACGTCTTCTGGATTTATCTGGATTTTTGTTGTAAGGATAACAAATTAAAAAAAAAAAACAATTTTGTGACAACCCCCCCCCTCCCCTCAGAAAGATGTGGGTTTTTTGTGCTTGTATTTTCATAGTTATTAAACTTTTTTCTTTTATCTCTTATATTGAGATTTTCCTCAATAGAAAAATGCTATTGAAGAACATTAACATTTAATTAACTGTACAGGGGAACTTGAATTGAGACAAATTCAAAAGGACAAATAGGTGAAATGGAATGGATATTTTGGAGGTTAAATTATGAATTTGCAAGGAATCTGTTGCTGTGAATGACTGCGATATTATTTTTGTGTGTTTCAGCACCAGAAGTTCTAAGTTATGAGCCCATAGGTACCTACACAGATATATGGTTAGTATTTCCAATGTACTGAGAAAGTTGGTGACCAAAAGAAAGAAGATTGGGTGCATGATTGGAATATGTTAACGTTTGTTATAATGGAATGAAATATGCTTGCATTTCTTGTGTCTCAAATGTGTCACTTTGCAATGACTTAGCAAAAAAAAAAACTTGGTTCTGCAGTACAATACTCTGAGATGTCACCTTGTATTTTTAATCATGCAAGTAAAGCTTTCTCTACTAGGAAATAGGTCTGTCCCCCATTAGTAATTATACATTTCTTTATGTAAGTACTAGTTTACATTTAAGTTCATGCCTTCTGTTGAAATATCAAACAAGTATTCCCTTATTTCATGCATATTCTGTTCTTCCCCCAATCCATGCCATGTTTTCTTTGTTCCCAGGAGCGTGGGGGTGCTTGTCTACGTGATGCTGACAGGGTGCTCGCCATTTGCTGGAGAAGACAAACAGGAGACGTTCCTGAATATCTCCCAGGTCAACCTCGATTTCCCAGAAGACCTATTCTGTGATATCTCGGAAAACGCCATAGATTTCATCTCTAAATGTCTGGTCAGGCAGCCAGGGTGAGTAGGGTTGACCATTCCAGGGGACAGTTTAAAAAAAAAAAAAACTACTCTGGTGCAAAATTATATCAAAACTTTTGGACCTAAAATTAGATCTTCTGCAGTACAATATTGGCTCTTTCTGTCTGTCTGTGCCTCTGTCTGTCTTATCAGCCCCAAACCCATCCACAGCACACACACACACACACACACACACACACACACACACACACACACACACACACACTGTCTTGTTTCCCTAAGTAATCTCTACATCCTTTGATGTTTTTAATGGTTGAATTGACTTAGGACTCTTTATTTGCTGAACAATATGTTAACGCTAAGTACACCATCACAGATTTTTAGGGAATTATATAGAATAAAAGATAAGGAAAACTTAAATATTCTTTTCTGGTAGGT